CATTAAAATGTTAATATAAAAAATATATTTTAAAATACAGAAACAAAATCATTTTAATAAGTAAAGATTCTGAATGTATTGAAGGAGATCCAATAATAATTGAATATATGTTTACAGTAGTAACAACAAATGATATTTTATTATATGATATGATTAATATCATGTTTTTAAATATGGTTTCATTCTAAATATGGTGGTTATCTCTAATATGGACACCCAGCATAATATATGATATTTACCATCTGAATCTAACCATGTCATGTCAACAAATGGAAAAGTCAGCCATCTATTAATTATCATGTGCCTTTAGCCCCAAAAGCAGGGGCGCTTTTTACCCCTTTTGATACGGTGAACCACCAGATTCTCCTGTCAACCCTATTGAAAAATGGCATCTCAGGAACCGCACGCCAGGGGTTTGAGTCTTACCTCTCAGATAGGTCCTTCAAGGTATCTTGGAGAGGTGAGGCATCCAAGTCACAACATCTAGCTACTTAGGTGCCTCAGGGCCCAGTTCTTGGACCACTTCTCTTCTCTATCTATATGGCATCACTAGGTTCTTTCATTCACAAACATGGCTTTTCATATCACTGCTATGCTGATGACACTCAACTCTACCTCTCATTCCATCCTGATGATCCGATAGATCCGATAGCTGCTCGCATCTCAGCATGTACCTCTACAATTAATCCAGAACGCGGCAGCAAGATTAATTTTTAATTAGATTGATTTCAATAGAATGCACTTAAAAAACAAACAAACAAAAAAAAAACTAACACTTGCTTCTCTAAACTTTTTGCATTCTATCTGTTTTCTTTTTATTTATTATACAATTATAATTCTGATACGTTTTTTGTGCCATCTAGCGGTTTAGAGGAAAATAATATCAAAGGATCTTTTTACCCAGGGAGCCTTTATCCCTGTTGTACCCTATTATTATTATTATTATTTATCACCCTAAGCCTGTGAATGGCAGAATGGCGTTCGTCTTTGACCTGTTCAGATACAGATATTCAGGTATAAAAACTGCTCTGGTTCTGCTTCTAACCCAAACTCACGAGTTACTCTTATAAAACACAACCTTACCTGTCCTGGAAATCCTGTGGCTTTTTTTCAGTCTCGCAGAAGAGAAATGACAGCAATCATATATATATATACATACACACAGCCATATCACGCTGTAGCCCAAGACTGGTCATCCACTGAAGCTAAGCAGGGTTGAGCTGGTCAGTACCTGGATGGAAGAGAAGAGCATAACTGCAGCCTGGAGATCTCCAAAACGGGGTGGGAGCTCCAAAATAGGGCGTGGCTTCCTCCCATTGACAGACAGGCACATGACACGCATGCGCAATTTTTTCCTACTTGGGATGGGAGAGCTCCTGGGAAAACTAGGTTGCTGCTGGAAGAGGTGTTAGTGAGGCCAGCAGGGAGTGCTCACCCTGTAGTCTGTGTGGGTCCTAACACCCCAGTATTATAGTGACGGGGACACTATACTGTCAACAAGCACTGTCCTTCGGATAAGAAGTTAAACAGAGGTCCTGACTCTCTGTGGCCATTAAAAATCCCATGGCACTTCTGGTAAAGAGTAGAGGTGTAACCCCGGTGTCCTGGCCACATTCCCTCCACTGGCCCACACATAAACGCTACTTTACCAGATAAAATGAAAAAATGTCATCAAAACATTTCTGAAGACAGTCGGTTTCCTTCAGAAGTACATCCATATTAAAAAAACACCCACGTTGCATTTTGAGTTTGAAACTCAAAGACCTCTTGAAATTATAACAAATACTTTTCTTGCACCATTTAAGGCATTTAAGACTTTTTATGGCCTTAAACTTGCTACAACTACATTTAAGACAACTAGGTTGAGACGTTCTCCAGTTCACAGTGAGCAGGGTTTAATGAGAACAGAGCCGTCCATCTGGAGTCCTCCATGATTTCTATACTCTAGTTTTAATGTGATAGGACAGTGGAGAGCTGACAGGAAAGCACTGGGCAGAGAGAGGGGAAGGGGAAGGGCAAAGGACCACGAGACGGGAATCAAACTGGGCTGGCCGCGAGTGCAGTTGCGCTGTTTGTCCTCTGTTATTCTTATCAATACTGACAGCATATGAGATGAAGATGAAGATGAAGAGCTGTGTTGAGTTAGGAGAAGCTGCACAGGAGCTCTGAGGTCACAGGTGAAATCACCGCCCACAGCAATCATCATGGTCAATCCCATCATGCCTCACGTGTGCGGCACGAGCGTCCGATAAATATCTGATAACGCCAGAGCAAAGTCTCTGGAGAAAACAAGCCTCAAGGAGAGGAAACCAGTGCGCTGAGGTTCAGTGCTCTTCCTCATGAGATCAGACCACTGCTTCAGATCTTACAGCTGCGGCTTCATTCAGAACCAACATCAGATAAAAATAGACCCCTCACACTAGAGTCTGCATTAATGACGCCCTTTGGGTTCCCAGCAATGGAACTGCAGGCTGAGAATCACATTTATTCTTTTGTTTGAATCCACAAGACAAGCAACAAAAACAGAATCCAAATACCCTGAGAAGTCATTTTGCAAGATGATAGGTACACATGGCTAACATACATTCACAAGTCCTTATATTTGCTCGCACGTGTTACTCACACAGTCACACACACACACACTGTATTATTGTATATTAAGATACACATTTGTACTATTTGATAAACACTCGCACTCACATACACTCGCACTCACACACACTCGCACATGCACACACACTTGCACACTCACACACACTCGCACACACACTCACACACACACTCGCACTAACACTCGCACACACACACTCGCACACACACACTCGCACACGCACACACACTCGCACACGCACACACACAAACACTCGCACACGCACACACACTCACTCTCTCTCACACACACACACACACACTCTCTCACACACACA